TTGAAGGGTTGATTTATTTGAAATTCTACTAGCAACCTTTTGAATATTCTATAATAACCCCCTTTAAAATTTTGAAGCTCTCTATTTGTTTTTCCTGTTTCAAAAATGTTTTTGAAATATTGGACAGCTTACCGTCCTTTCCTTAATTTTTGATGTTTGTGTTTAAAAAGGGCCCCTACAACCCCTTTCCGTTTACAGTCTGTTTTAATTTGTAAACGAAACCGTTTGAAACCAGTCAAGGGTTCGGAAACATTCAAATTTCAAATTTTCAAAAAAAGTTTATTCTCTTAAGGTTTTAAAATTGCTGAGTTTACAAAATTTTGGGTTTTATTTTGTGGTTTACATGAGTAAAAAAAATTGATTACAGAAGTGTACCACTAGAACCCCTTTGCGGGCTAGGCTTTTTCGGGAGATTTAAATTTTAATTCTTTTTTTAAAATATTACAAATTATGAGGTAATTTTTGGTTTTATGGCTAGTGCTAAATACTAGTTTGTGAGTTTAGCAATGGGTATGCTTTTTTTTTGGGGCACGGGACAAAAGTTTCAGTATTGGAGAGTATCACGGGTTTCTTATTTTTTTTGAGATTAATATTTCTGTTTAGGGTTTAAAATTTGGGTGAGTGATTTGTAAGTGGGAACCCCCAGGTGGTATTGTGTAGTTAGTTGAGGGGTGTTAAAGGAGATAAAAATGTTTTTAATGGTATTTTGAAGGGGGATAAAATGTGTCTGCGGTTTTAGATTTTCCAGGTGGGGTTTTTCCCAGTTTTTGGGGCCCCTTGGACATGCATTGAATTTTTTGTAAAGGTTTGTGGGGAAAAGGGGAATGTCTTAAAATGTTTGTGTTGGTGTTACCCTTTTGGGTTCTGTCACAACTATCAAGAAAGGGGTTTAGGTAAAGGGTTTAAATATTGGATTTTTAAGGTCCGTAGATGTAGTTTTGAACAGTAGTAAGTGGGGAAATGTACTGAACAGGGATAATTTAGATCTATGAAGAGTGGGGGGTTTTGTGTTGCCGGGGGTTGGGATTTGTGATTATTCTTACTGAGCTTTTTTTTTGGGTTATTATTGGCTTTAGGTGTGTTGCGCAGTTGACCCCCCAAGCACAAAGCAAGGTGGGGTATGGAAAAAATAATTTGATTTTTTGTATATTTGTGAGAAGGGAATTTTGCGGCACGTAATCGTATTTTGGAGGGGGATCCCAACCTTTTTGGGGTTTATTTTTTTTGGTTATGTGTTGGATTTTGGGTGCTGAAATTCAGGTTTTTTAAAGGTTTATGGGCCCTAGGAATTTGCCCTTTCATTTTTGTCTGGTAATTAGGGGTTTGTCGATTTTTAATGTTAATTTGTGCATCCCCTTTCTCTGCTAAAAAACCCAAAATATAGTGGGTTTTTTTTCAGTTTTTAAAGGTAATTTTTATTGGCTGTCACCCAAAGGGTCGATATTTTGATCAGCTCCCCTTTTAAAACAATGGTGTTAGGGGGCAAGTTAGGGTGAGGATTGACATAAGTCGTGTCGTCAGAAAAGAGAAGGGGTTTCAGGTTTTGGGAAAACGTTTGGAAGATCATTGATGTATATGAGGAAGGCAGGGGCCAAGGACACTTCCCTGCGGAATTTCCCAGAATAAAAGTGGCCGTGTTTTTAAATTTTGGGTCTTTAATGGTGCAAAAGGAAAATTTTTTGAAAGGGTTTAAGATTTGAAATAAGAAAGCCCCAGGCCTCTTTTACTGTAAGGGGCCCAATTTTTGGGAAAGTAGGAGGGTCGTGGTCTACTGTGTAAAAAGCTTTCTTAGGTCAAAAAAAAATTTCCTATTGGATATTCCTTATTTTTCCAATGGGGTGAAAAGGAAAATCTAGCATTTTTTTTATTGCACCATTCGTGCTTTTTTTTTTTTCCCCTGAATCCAAATTGGCGGGGTTGAGTATTTTTTGTGCCGTTATAAATGAAATAGTCTCCTGGAAACGAGTTTTTTCAAAAAAATTTTGGATAGCAAGGGTTTAAGTTTGATATTGGCCTATATTTTGTTTTAACCCTTTTCGGTTTTTTGAATGGGCAAGGCCCAAAACAACCCGTTATTCTTTGACGCAGGGCACAAGTACCTTGATAACAAAGAATTTTGGGTGGCTTTTTTAAAGTTAAAAGGCCACAATGAAAGTTAGAAATGATGTTGGGAGGGGCTTTTAAAATGGGCCCCACCCAAATCTTATGGGGTGGGGGAGGGGCACCGGGAGTTTACCTACCTGGAGGATTTCCCGGGGGTCAACGCCCCCGGGCCCGGTCTGTGCCGGGGCCTCCGGGTGGACCCAGAGCCTGATAAACCCGGCTTTCCCTGCTGGTGCACGAAAACCCAAAAGTAACAACCCACAGCCCGGGGGGGATAAGGAAATGATTTTGGGGCTTTTTCCAGGGGCCAGTTTGGAAACGGGAAAGGGGTCTTTTGGAATCCCCCTTTGTTGCTGGGAGGGGCTTTTTTGAACGGGTCCTCGGGCCCCTGACACTTATTTTTTGGGGTCTCTTAACGTGTAGTGACACCCCTGTTTTTTCTTTGGGGGGGTTTTGCATCGTGTCCCCAAAAGTTTTTTTGGCCTTTCGTAAGTGAGTGTTTTTCTTGCAAGTTGGGTAAGTCCTTTTAGGATTTTAAAGGTGTAAAAAATCATGTTCTTCCCCCCTGCTTTCCCAAGGGAATACAGGTTTGGGAAAACCTCAAGGCCCCCGGGTAATTGAGGTTTTTTTTCTCCTTTAATGCCCCCGGGTAAAATTTCTTGTACATTTTCTAGGTCGGCAATTTCACCTGCCTTAAGGTGCTGTTAGTGGCGAAAATTTTTCCGCCTAGATAAACAAGTGACCTAAAAAAATTTATTTTTCCCCCCCCCTTTTTTTTTTTTTTTTCCCCCCCCCTTTTTTTTAAAGGGTTCCTTTTTTTTGGGGGGCCCCCCCAAAAAAATCCAATTTTTTTTTTTTTTTTTGGGGGGTTTTTTTTGGGATTTAAATTTTTTTTTTTTCCCCCCTTTTTTTTTTCTTTTTTAATTTTTTTTCCCCAAAATTTTTTAAAAATTTTAGGGCCCGGGGGTTTCCCCCCCCTTTTTTTTTTAAAAAGGGGGGGGCCGGGGGGGAAAAGGGAATTTTTAATGGGAAAGAGGGGGAAAATTTTTGGGGGGGGGCCTTTTTTTCCCCCTTCCCGGCCCCCTTTTTTTTTCCCCTTTTTGGGGTTTTTTGGGGAAAAAAATTTTGGCCCCCTTTTAAAAATTTTTTTTTTGCCTTTCCCCGGAATTTTTAAATTTTAAAATTTTTTTTCTTTTTTTTGGTTTTTTTTCCTTTGGGGTTTCCAAAGGTTAAAAAAAGGGGGACCCAAAACCTTTTTTTGAAGGGTTTTGGGGCCAAGGGGGGGAACCTTGGGTTTTTTTTTTTTTTTTAAAAAAAATTTTTTTTTTTATTTTTTTTTTTTTTTTTTCCCCCTTTTTTTTTTTTTGGGGGGCTTTTTTTTTTTAAAGGGGCCCCCCCCCAAAAAAATTTTTTTAAAATTTTTGGGGGGGCCCCCTTTTTTTTGGCCCCGGGGAGGGCCCGGGAAGGCCCCAAAACCCCCCGGGAAGGGGGGAAAAGGGGGCCGGGGGTTTAAAAAACCCCCCCAAAAAAAAGGGGGGGTTTTCCCCCCCGGGGGGAAACGGTTGGGGGAAAAAGGGGGTTTGGGAAATTTGGGGGCCCCCCCTTTTTTTTTTTTGGGGGGGGTTTTTAAATAAGGGGGGGGTTTTTTGGGGTTTTTTTTTTTTTGGAAAAAATTTTTGGGGGTTTTTTGGGGGGGAAAAACCCCGGGGGCCCCCCCTTACCCAAAGGGGGGGGGTTTTTTGGGGGCCCCCCCTTTTTGGGGGGGAAAGGGGGGGGAAAATTTTTTTTTTTTTGGGGGGGGGGGGGGTTTTTTAAAGGGGGGGGTTTTTTAAACCCCCCCCCCAAAGGGGGGGTTTTTTAAAGGGGGGGGGCCCGGGAAATTTTCGGGGTTTGGGGGGGGGGAAAAAAAAAGGGGGGGGGGAATTTTAAAAGGGGGGGGGGGGGGGGAAACCCCCCCCCCGGGCCTTTTTAAAACCGGGGGGAAAAGGGGGGAAAAAATTTTTGGGTTTTTTTTTTGGGGGGGGTTTTTTTTTTTTAAAAAAAAAGGGGGGGGGGGGAAAAAAAAAATTTTTTTTGGGTTTTTAAAAAAACCCGGGGGGAAAAAATTGGGGGGGGGGTTTTTGGGGGGTTTTTTTTAAAAAAAATTTTTGGGGGCCCCTTTTGGGGCCTTAATTTAAATTCCCCCGGGGGTTTTTTTGGGGGGGGGGGGGGGGAAAAAAAATTTTTTAAAAAAGGGGGGGGGAAAAAATTTCCCCTTAAAAAAGGGGGGGGTTTGGGGGGGGAAAAGGGGGGGGCCCCGGGAAAAAAAAAAAAAAGGGGGGGAAAAAAAACCCCCCCAAAAAAAAAAAAGGGGAAAAAATTTTTTTTTAAGGGTTTTGGGGGGGGCCCCCCCCAAATTTTTCCCCCCCCGGGGGGGGGAAATTTTGGGGGGCCCCCCCCCCCAAAAATTCCCCCAAAAGGGGTTTTTTTAAAGGGGGGAAAACTTTTGGGGGGGGTTTTTTTTTAAAAAAATTGGGAATTTTTTTGGGGGGGTTTTTTCCGGGTTTCCCCCCCCCCAAAAAAAAAAACCCCCCCCAAAAAAATTTTTTCCCCCCCCCAAAAAAAAAATTTTTTTTTTTAAAAAAAAAAAAAAAACCCCCCCCCAAAAAAAAAAAAAAAAACCCCCCCCTTTAAAAAAACCCCCCCCCCCCCCCAAAAAAAAAAAATTTTCCCCCCCCCAAACCCCCCCCAACCCAAAAACAAAACCTTTAAACCCCCCCCTTTTCCCCCCAAAAGTCCCCCCCAAAAAAAAAAAACCCCCCCCCCAAAAAACCTTTTGGGGGGGGTTTTTTTTAAAGGTTGGGGGGGGATTTTTTTAAAAAAAAAATTTTTTTTTTTTTTTTCCCCTTTGGGGGGTTTTTTTCCTTTTTTTGGGGAAAAAATTTTTTTTGGGGGGAAATTTTTTTGGGCCTTTTGGGGGGGGCCCCCCCTTTTTCCCAAAAGAAAGGGGGGTTTTTTTTTTTTTTTCCAAAACCCCCCGGGTTTTCCCCCCCGGGGGGAAAAAAAAAAAAAAAGGGAAAAAAAAATTTTTTTAAAAAGGGGTTTTTTTTGGCAAACCCCGGGGGGCCCCCCCCCCCCCCCCCGGGAAAAAAGGGGGGGGAAAAAAAAAAAAGGGGGGGGGTTTTTTTTAATTTTAACCCTTTTAAAGGGGGGGGGGCAAAAAATTTTAAACCTTAAATTTAAACCCCCGGGAAAAAAAACCCCCAAAGGAAAAAAAGGGGGGAAAAATGGCCCCCCCCCCAAAAAAAGGGGGGGGGTTTTTAAAAAAAATTTTTTGGGGGGGGGGAATTTTTTGGGGGCCCCCGGGAAAACCGGGGGTTTAAAAGGGGAATTTTTAAAAAAGGGGGATTTGGGGGGTTTTTTTTGGGGGGGGGGGGTTTTTTGGGCCCCCCAAAAGGGGTTTTTTTAGTTTTCCCCAAAAAAAATTTTGGGGGGGGGGGGGGTTTTTTTTTTTTGGGGGCCCTTTTTTGGGGTTTTTTTTTAAAATTTCCCTTTGGGCCCTTTTTTTTAAAAATTTTTTTTCCCCGGGCCATTTGGGGGGTTTTGGTTTTTTTTTAAAAAACCCTTTTTTTTTTGAAACCCCCCCCGGGGGAAAAAAAAAAAAAAAAATTTTTTTAAACCCTTTTGGGGTTTTAAAAGTTGGGTTTTTTTTTTTTTTAAAAAAAAAATTTTAAAAAATTTTTTTTTTCCCCCCCCCCCCCCCCCCACGGCCCCGGGTTGGGCCCCCCTTTTTTTAAAAAAAAGGGGGGGGGGTTTTCCCCCCGGGAAAAAAAGGGGGGGGTTTTAAAAAAATTTTAAACCCCCTTTTTTTTTAAAAAAAGGGAAAAGGGGGAATTTTTTAAACCCCCCCCAAAAATTTTTTTTTAAAAAAAAATTTTTTTCCCCCCCCCCCCCCCCCCAAAAAAATTTTTTTTTCCTTGGAAAAAAAAAAAAAAAAGGGCGGGGCCCCCCCCCTTTCCCGGGGTTTTGGGGCCCCTTTTTTTTCCCCAAAATTGGGGGTTTTTTTTAAAAAAAAACAAAAAAAATTTTTGGGTTTTTTTTTTAAAAATTTTTTAAATTTCCCCAAAAAAAAAAAAATTTTTTTTTTGTTCCAACCTTTTTCCCCAAAAAGGTTTTCCCCCTTTTTAAAAAAAACCCCCTTTTTCCCCCCAAATTTTTTCCCCCCCCCAAAAATTTTTTTTATTTTTTAATTCCCTTTTTTGGGGGGTTTTTGAAACCATGGGGGGTTTTTTTTTTGGGGGTTTTTGGGAAAATTTCCCCCCCCCGGGGGAAAATTTTTTGGGCCCCCTTTTTTTTTTGGGGGAAAAATTTTTTTTTTTCCCCTTTTTTTTGGGGGGGGGGGGGAAAATTTTTATGGTTTTTGGGGGTTTTTTTTTTTTTTTTTTCCCCTCTTTTTTGGGGGTTTTTTTTTTTTTTTTTTTGGGGTTTTTTGGGTTTTTTTTTTGGGGGTTTAAAATCTGTTTTTTTCCCCTTGGGTCCGGTTTTCCCAAAAAAAGGGTTAAAATTTTTTTCCCCCCTTTTTTTTTCCCCCAAAAAAATTTTTTTTTGGGGGGGGGGAAAAATTTTTTGGGGGGGCCCCCCCGGGGGTTTTCCCCCCCCTTTTTTTTTGGCCTTTTTTTTTTTTTTTTTTTTTTAAATTTTTTTTTTTTTAAAAAAAAACCCGGAAAAAAAAATTTTTCCCCCCCCCCCTTTTTTTTTTTCCCCCCTTTTTTGTTCCGGGGGTTTTTTTTTGGGGGGGGTTTTTTTTAAAAAAAGGGGGGGGGGTTTTTTCCCCTTTTGGGAAAAAAGGGGGGGGGTTTTTGGGGGGGGGCTTTGGGCCCCCTTTTAAAAAAACCTTTTTTTTTGGGGGGGGGTTTTTTTTGGGGGAAAAAAAAATTTTTTTTTTGGGGTTTTTTTTTTTTTTTGGGGGGCCCCTTTTTAAAAAAATTTTTTTTTTTAAAAAAATTTTTTTTTTTTTTTTTAAAACCCTTTGGGGTTTTAAAAAAAAAAAAAAAAAACCTTTTAAACCCTTTCCCTTTTTTTGGTTTTTTCAAAAGGGGGGGCCCCTTTCCCTTTAAGGGTTTTTTTAAGGGGAAAAATTTTTTTTCCCCCCGGTTTGGTTTTTCCCCCCCCCCCGGGGCCCCCCTTTTTTTTTAAAACTTTTAAAACCCCCCTTTTTCCCCCAAAGGGGCCCCTTTTTTCCGGGGTTTTAAAAAAAAATTTTTTTCCCCCGGGGGGGTTTTTTTTTTGGGGGGGTTTTTATTTTTTTTTCCCCCCCCTTTTTTTTCCCCGGGGGGTTTTTTTAAAAATTTTTTTCTCCTTTTAAAAAAAAATTTTTTTTTTTCCCCCCCCGGGGGCCGGGGGGAAAAAAAAATTTTTTTTTTAAATTTTTTTCCCCCCGGGGGGAAAAAAAAAACCCCCAAAAGGGGGAAATTTTTTTAAAAAAAACCCTTTTTTTTTTAAGGAAAAAAAAAAAACCCCCCCCTTTTTTTAAAAAATTTTTTAAAGTTTTTTTTAAAATTTTTAAAAAAATTTAAAAAAAATTTTTTTTTTTTTTTTTTGGGGGTTTAAAAAGGGGGGGCCCCCCTTTTTCCCCTTTTTTTTCTTAAAAGGAAAAATTTTTTAAACCCTTCCCAAAAAATTTTTTCAAAGGGGGGGGGTTTTTTTTTTTCCCCCGGGGGGGGGGTTTTTTTTCCCCTTTAAAATTTTTTTTTTTAAAATTTTTTTCCCCCTAAAAAGGGTTTGGGGCCAACCCCCCAAAAAAAAAATGGGAACCGGTTTTTTTTTAAAAAAAAAAGAAAAAAAAAAGGGGGATTTCCCCCAAAAGGGAATTTTTGCTGGGAAAGGTTTTAAAAATTTAAAAAGGGGGGGGTTTTTTTTTGGGGTTTTTTGGGAATTTTTTTTTGGTTTCCTCCCGGGGCGGGGGGCGTTGACCCCCGGAACTCTCTCTCCAGGTAAACTCCAGGTAAACATCATTTGAGGCATTAAGCAGTTCTGTGCAAACAAGTGACTCTGCAATGTACAGGCCAACCCCCCCCCCTTTTGCCTGTTCACTCTGTCACATCTGTATAGGTTGTAACGTGGGATCCATATTTCGTTGTCCAAGTGATCCTTTATGTGGGTCTCAGTGAAAGCTGCGAACATTGCCTTTGCCTCTGCAAGCAGTCCACGGATGAAATGTATTTTGTTGTTTGTTGCTGGCTTTAGACCCTGTATATTTGTAAAGAAGAATGTTATCGGACTGGTGGTATTGTTGGTACTGGGGGAGGGGGATTTTTTTTCCGGCATTAGTATCTGTGTCTGTTGGTTTGGAGTGGAGGCCATCGACTGTGGTTCCACTCGAGGAATGACTGGATTTGGTGTACGATTTCTGCCATTTCCTGCCAGTTTTTTTTCCTTCCTGGCACTAAAAAACCTCTCCCTCTTGAGTGGCTGTGGCTACCCAGGTTTTCCCATGGCCTGGATGTTTTGTATCTTTTTGTCCCCTTTAGATGGTATGCCTGGCAATTTAAGTTATAGCACAGTCTTTCCTGTACTGAAGAGGTACACAGTTCAGGGTGAAAAAGCTTACAGGAAGGGAGTTTGCATTTTCCTGTTGTCATATGGGCATGGCATTTTCTAGGGTGGTCATAGTTGCACGTCCCATCTGTTTTTCCAGATTTCCCATGCCAGCAGATACCAAGTGCATAGTATGTGCACAGGCTTGGTTTCCGTTTGCCTTGGGTTTCTGTGACTGTATTCCCTGTTGGTGCATATTTCCCTGTCTTACTTCTATCCTCCCTAGCACCAACAATGGAGCTCCCACCAGTTGTTTTTGGTAATATTTTTATTTTTTTTTTATTATCACACTGGCCGATTCCCACCAAGGCAGGGTGGCCCGAAAAAGAAAAACTTTCACCATCATTCACTCCATCACTGTCTTGCCAGAAGGGTGCTTTACACTACAGTTTTTAAACTGCAACATTAACACCCCTCCTTCAGAGTGCAGGCACTGTACTTCCCATCTCCAGGACTCAAGTCCGTCCTGCCAGTTTCCCTGAACCCCTTCATAAATGTTATTTTGCTCACACTCCAACAGCACGTCAAGTATTAAAAACCATTTGTCTCCATTCACTCCTATCAAACACGCTCATGCATACCTGCTGAAAGTCCAAGCCCCTCGCACACAAACCTCCTTTAACCCCCTCTCTCCAACCTTTCCTAGGCCGACCCCTACCCCGCCTTCCTTCCACTACAGACTGATACACTCTTGAAGTCATTCTGTTTCGCTCCATTCTCTCTACATGTCCGAACCACCTCAACAACCCTTCCTCGGCCCTCTGGACAACAGTTTTGGTAATCCCGCACCTCCTCCTAACTTCCAAACTATACGAATTCTCTGTATTATATTCACACCACACATTGCCCTCAGACATGACATCTCCACTGCCTCCAGCCTTCTCCTCGCTGCAACATTCATCACCCATGCTTCACACCCATATAAGAGCGTTGGTAAAACTATACTCTCATACATTCCCCTCTTTGCCTCCAAAGGGGCCCAAAGTTCTTTGTCCCACAGACTCCTAAGGGGCACCACTCACTTTTTTTTTCCCTCATAAAATTCTATGATTCACCTCATCTTTCATAGACCCATCCGCTGACACGTCCACTCCCAAATATCTGAATACATTCACCTCCTCCATACTCTCTCCCTCCAATCTGATATTCAATCTTTCATCACCTAATCTTTTTGTTATCCTCATAACCTTACTCTTTCCTGTATTCACCTTTAATTTTTCTTCTTTTGCACACCCTACCAAATTCATCCACCATCTCTGCAAACTTCTCTTCAGAATCTCCCAAGAGCACAGTGTCATCAGCAAAGAGCAGCTGTGACAACTCCCACTTTGTGTGTGATTCTTTAACTTTTAACTCCACGCCTCTGTCAAGCCCCTCGCTTTTAAACTTCTCTTACAACCCCATCTAAAATATATTAAACAACCACGGTGACATCACACATCCTTGTCAAAGGGCCAACTTTTACTGGGAAATAATTTCCCTCTTTCC